CCACAACCTCTTTCACCTTTCTGCTCCTAAGTAGCACTTACCTACCCACACAATTTTTGGCACTTACACACATTTTGGGTTGTATTTTTATCTATGCAGTTACCCTTGCCTTGTCCTTTCCTTTAGAGGTGTGTAGACTCTGTGGCAGACTAGAATTGCTGAGGCGCACACATAACTTTAAGTCCCAAAACTACTCCAGGAAAACCTGACTTTGAGGGAGGGTAGGGACTCACAGTTTTTAGCTAAAGTGTTAAGACATTTGGTCTGGGAACAGGAGACAGAGGTTGTGTGTTTGTGTGGGGGGAGTGGAGTAACAGCATGTACGAAAGGAGCCTTAGCTAAAGGCATTATATATATACACACACTATAATGCCTATAATAACTATAATATATATTTGTATAAGTAAGGAATTGGTATGGTGCAGGTTTATCTCCATATATGTCTGTTATGTTATATGGGTTTAAGATACGGGATATCATTATAATAAATGGAAGACTGTCCCGTATTCAAACCAAAATTCCAAAGTGGTTTGTTCAACATATCTTTGTTATAGCTGGTTGCAATGACTGTTTGATTTCTTAACGGCATTAGGCTCTGATTCAGAGAGTAATTTTATGTTAAAGGATCCTGGCAGTAATTGCATTTCTAATGACATCCTCAATGAGGAAACTACTGTAATGACTGTGATGAGGAAATATCAATGATGGATAAGCCAGAGTTGATTCCAACCCCTCTAAGAGGTGAATCTGGCATCAAGGATCTTGGAAACAACTAAAGTTGATGTTTAAGCACTGGATTTTCCCCATTAATGTTCATTATACAATCACACCCCTTAGCTTTTTGATACAAAAATAAACACAAAACAATTTCATCTCTGTTCAGCCCTCCTCTGCTGTGGATTTTTATTATCCCATAAAATTATATTCTGATTGCCTTGGATATCCCCAAAGATGTAATTTGATGAGCAAATACTCGGAGGAATTAAATTGCTATAATCCTGCATACTGTGCTGAGTATAACACAAGCCAATCTATTCTCAGAAACTGGCTTTTAGTGTGGTTTTTAGAAATATATCCTTTGCCTTTGTCTGGGTCAAGTTGTCTCATAACTCTGTCAGTGTAACTCACATAAAATATCCTTTTGATATTTGATTGCAGATCTGTTGGGTAGTGTTGGCACCAGCTGTGAAATGCAAATATTTTTTGCTCACCAGACTCCTGTATTTTATATAAAGGTTAAAAATACATATATAAAACTTCTCCTGCCAGGTTTGAAAAGGTCTTCAAGTTGATGGTTCCAGCATAATATATGTTTAAATGGTATGCTGCAAAAGCACAATACGTTGCCTTCCCCCATTGTTTTGATTTCTCCTGCACAGTATGAAGTTTAGTTATAAAAATGCTTTCTGTTTATATTGTTTACATGCCACCAAAAGATCTTGCTAATAGGAAGGAAAAAAGTCATAACACGCCTTGGGTTTCCCCAACAGAATACAGAATTTTCAGTGATATAAACCTACTAAAAGGTCTTTGCAGCATTTGTCTCCCTATATTCATGGGCACTCGATGCTGGCATAAAGGATCTGCCATAGATCATTTTGTGGGATTGGCTCCTTCAGTCTTTTTTCAGATAAACGGCTCATTTGAAACTGTTATCAGCGGTTTTGCCCAAGTACAGACTGCAGGAAAGATTACAGGACTATAAAGGTTTGGAATCTATTTACTCATCCACAAAATCAGGCCAAATTATAAATGTTTAAATAGAGAAGGGGTTAAATGGGTGCATTTGGAGTCTTCTGTTTTGAGGAACATTGTCGTTGTAACAGATACCTGCAAGGAGGACAAATGTAACCACCTGCACAGAGAGAAGAATTCAAGTTGCAGGAGTGAAGTTGGGAGGAGACAGCACTAGGAAGTCAGTCACTCTGCAGACCCAAGTTACAAATGATGCTACAATTTGTAACATCTTATCTGGTATCTCATGCAATGAGGTGTCAGATTTTCACCCAACTGGCCATTTTTAAGCTGTTTGCAGCCATGCACGTGTGTTTGGTCACAGCTGTAAATTGCTTTTTGTGGCCAGATGAGGCAAACATTGTCCCTTCTGTCAGCACCTTCAGAGTGCATGTTGCTGGAGAGTGCCAAGTGGAGTATCTCAAGGTACATATATATTAGTAAAGAAGGAGCTTAGTTTTAGGCCCATATTGTTCTCTCAAGTAATTGCCCAGCATCGGGTACACAAAGGAAGAAGAATTTTATAAATTCTCAGTTTGACCTGGTTTGATATGGCCACTTTTTCTTGTTGATGTTGTTATTGTTTCCCTATCACTCAGTGTCACTGCTTCTAAGTGCCTGCACTGTTTATCTAGTATCTCTTCTTTGCTTGAATTCTGCTTGATCATGGTGCCGTCTAAACTAAAGCAATCTATTTTTTTATGACAAGTTTGGTATATGGCTCATAATGGTTTGACCTGTAAGATTTATTTGTCTGTTTTCTATTGCTTTTGTTTTAATGTCAGAAACTGCTAATCCTTCAAAGTCTGATGTTCAACAGCCAGCAGCATTGATTTGCAATTGGCATGAGGGCTTGCTTCAACTAACAGTGCCTTTTAAAAATAATTCTATTTACTGTATGCCAAATAGTCCCTACATCCCTGTTCAAGCCTCTTGATCTTGACTGCAGCAAAAAATATTGCATTAAAACTAAAACAGTTTTTTTTACTGAATATCCCCTGTGTATTTCAAAACCTTTTGTATCTGTTGCATTGAAATCTTCCAGTTAAAAGCAATGCTTTCTGGCTACTGCTCCCTTCACTGAAATACAGCTCAGAGCTTCACTTGATGACTTCTGTAGAGATGTCCACTTTCTGTCAGCATAATGCTAGATTCTGGCACAACTATATTGAGTAGTCCCATTAAAGTAAATAGGGCTAAGCAGCTAGCAGCATTCTACCTGGCATAAAGGAATCAGAATATGGTCTTACTGAATAATGAGTAATTTACTTATTGTTATCACTGCCTGTGACTCTTTCAAGTCTCATATATATTTTATATGATAATACGAACTCCTCAGTATTCAGCAGTGTTTTTTTTTCTAATTACCATATATATTATATAGAGCTAATATATTAAAAGATACCTTAAGGGTAATTACCAAGCATGTGATTTCTTCTGTAGGTCACTGTCATGACTGCTAATGTCATAAATGCCTCTTTATGAAATTACAGGCTTGTTACTCAGCCTAGATATCCTTTATATACAGTATAATTAATAAGACTAAGTCTTGGTGTTGGTCTTAGTGTCATGAAACATCATGTAAATACCTGTCCCAATAGCAAGCAGCTAGTCTGTCATCAGACTAAGAAAATGATTAAGCCGAATGCAGGCCAGGCAGTTTGGGCATATTTTAGCTTATCTTTTAAGACACCTGGGTGGCTTGTTAACAAAACAACTTGTGACAAAATATATATGTTCACAAAACACATTGACTATTGATCTTATATCCAATTATAATACTAGATAAAAAAATGTAAGGAGGTAGAATAGCAATTGGATTGCAGCCAGCAGAACACAGAGTTGTTTTCCCCATAATTCACTGAGGATATTGAAAATTTGTATCCAGCTCAAAGCATTTGGGCATGGAAAGGATCAGTAGTCTTGTACTTAAGGCACTGGACTACAATTTAAGAAATTTGGTATCACTTCTGAGCCATACCAGACTTGCTACAGAGCCCTGGGAAAGTTACTGAAGCCTTGTCTGTGCAGTAAACTTACCATGCTTAGCTGCAGTGCCCCCAACCAAAGTGCAGTGATCTACACAGGATGCCTGCTAAACTAGGAGCAGTGTTCCCAGGTCTGCACAACTCTGAGGGTGAGCTGATTGGGTGGGGTGGTGTCTCTCAAAAGTGCTATGCGGACTCACTTGCAACACCTCCTGCATAGGAGACACCCTACGTGGAGCAGCAGAGTGCTTGAGGGGGCAACACCTTTAGTGGTCTTAATCACTTTGGGTGCGTCTATACAAGATGCTACTGCACAGTAGCTCGTTCCTACCGAGCAGTAGCATTGCCAGGTGTTAGCTGTGACACAATGCTACTGTGCAATAGCATCAGAAAAAAAACTGTGAGGACAGTACTGTGCAGTAATGCCGGTTGCTATGCAGTCATTTAGTGCTTGCTTATGCAAATACTAAGCCAGTACTAAATGACCTGCTGCTCATGTAGTTGCAGCCACTGTGCTTCATTCCTAATCTGTTAATAGGGGATAATAATACTTTCTTTGTGCATCTTGTCTAGATCATGGATGCACAACTATTTTCTCTGGTAGGCTAGATGGGCAATGCTCCGTCTACAGGCCAGATCCTGCCAGTAGTCCTAGTCTGGCACTGAGGACAGGGAAGTGGGTGCTATCTGGCCATGCAGATGGGGGTGTGGGGCAGTCCAGTTGCAACCTGGCCACGTGGCTCAGAAAAGGCGGGTGTGGCTTTGCCCCACAGGGAGAAAAGAGGACATGACCTGGCCCCATCCCAGCCCTGCCAGGGAACAGGGCATGACACAGCCCCTATCCAGATGCGGGGGAGGGGGTGTGGCCCAGCTGTGACCAGCACTGGGGAGCTTGCAGTTTGGGAATCTGGCATGAGGAGGGTGATTGTATTAATGGCCACCACTCCCTTGCCCTGAAATTTCCTACTCCATGGGAGCTCCGTGGGCCATAGGTAATGGCTCCATGGGCCGCATTTGGCCCATGGACCAGATGTTGAGCACCCCTGGTCTAGACCATCAGCTCTTTGGTGCAATGATAGTCTTTCCCTAGCTGTTTTTGCATCCCTGAACAACACAAGGTGGCAGTAACCTCTTATCACTATTTTACTATAGATAATAACAGAGAATATTTTGTAAGAGGTTAAGGAAACAGGTTTTATAAATGAAGGGGATTTGGGGGAGGAGGTGAATTCTAAAAATATTTCTAAGGGTTTTTTAATTAATGTTATTGTCCCTCAGGGAATGATGTACCTGGAAGAGAGGAGACTGGTGCACCGAGATCTGGCAGCCCGGAACGTCTTGGTGAAATCGCCAAACCATGTGAAGATCACTGATTTTGGCCTGGCCAGGCTCCTAGAAGGGGATGAAAAGGAATATAATGCTGATGGTGGAAAGGTAGATTTTGTATGTCCACTCCATCATGTCTTATCTTGCTTTTTTTTTTTCTGGGGGCACACAAGTCTTATTCTGTATATTTCCTGATTTGAAAAAGATGCACAAATGCACATTACCAAAAAAAAAAAAAAGTTTGTTGGAGAAGCTTAAAGAAGCTCTTGAATTCATGCAGTGGCATCAGCCTCATTTTCAAAAGTTCCAAGTATGTGAGAACTGTCCTTGACCTCAGCGGGAGCTGTTGAATGTGTGCTCAGCAGGCTGGGCAATTGGGTACACACCTAACTATGAATTTAGGAGACAAAGTTGAAGCTCCTATTTTTGTAAATATTAGCCAGTTTCAGTGGTATAAAGGATAGTCTTGACAGAGTCTTCACTCTGTCACATCATTGTAAAGGCGTTAATATCAGTGAAGTTACACTGACACAACTATACGGACTAACCATCCTAGGAAGTCTAATAGCCATGTAAGATAAAATATACAGTTCTTGTAGATCCAATGTCTGCTGAAACACAGGCCTTGGTCATAAAAGCTGTTCACTTCTGTTCACTGAACCTCTCCGCAGGTGGAGAGATTGGTTCATCACAAATTCCACTAAGCAAGAATTGAACAGCTTTCATTATTAGGACCTGTTTTTGTCCTTGTATCTTCCATTTTCCTGCTTATTTTGACTGCAGTGAAAATGTTTGTCTAAAAATCCATGTAGGGAATGACACTCGCTCTTCTTCACTCTATGCTAGGAGTCCATTTTCCTAGACACATCTCATTCATGCAGGCACAATGGAAAGCTGCAGAAGATGTTTGTTTGTAGCCTGCCCATTAAGGTTTTACATATGCTTTCCAAAAATCTGACTGTTGGCTCAGAATAAAAGACTCCGTGCATGCTACTTCTTAGCGCCTTGTTATATTGCCAGTACTTGCCCAAGATATTTCCAAAAGGATGCTACATATCATGGCCCTGAGTACATCTGCCACATGTCAATAAAACAGATATTTTGAACTTCTGTATTTGGGATATTTTCTATTAATCTGTCCATATTATTTCTCAGAGCATCTCAGTATTTTTTATTCTATACTTTTCCTTACAAATGATCACAGCATCAGGACTTTCTAAATGCACCCAAAGAGATGTGTAGCAATATTCAAGTGGTTCCAAACATTATTTCCACGCAGACACTACTTGGGGATCTTTGAAATACTGCAACCAGAATATCTGTTAACCCACACTAACCTTTCCTGTCACCTTGCTAGAGGTGTCTCTTGTGACACTGAGCCTCTTCCAAATTCGTTCTTGCCTTGTCCCACTCTGCTTCACTTCTTTTTCTCAGTTTACTTACAGTAGTAAAAGAAAGAAGCTGCTATCATTATTTGTTATTTCCTTGGCTTGATGGCTTCTGTCCTAAATGTGCTGTTGCTGTGGCCAGCTGTTCTATGGACCACACAGGAATTATGAGGCGAGGGATAACAGGGAGACAGTTGGTGAAGCAAGAAGCTTCAAAGGAGTCAGCAGCTGCTTTCTCCACTCCCCAGCAGTGGAGGGACTTTCCAGCAATGAGGGTGGAGCTTTGGCTGTCTTCCCTGAATCCTCCAGTTCCTCTACAGCACCCCCTTCTGCCTCTCTTCCACCCCTTCCTTCACAGGCCAGTGAATGGTGAAGGAAGAGATGGTCTTCATAGCTTGACTCGTCTCTGTGCGGATCTGGGATAGCATCTTGGATTTATTGAACCAAATTACTGCTGGCGATCCTGAAGTAGGATTAGGCATCAGAAATGTCATTGCACTGCTTCTGGGAAGTGTTGCTTCAAACTCTGAAGTCATTTGCATTTTAAATCTGTATTGTCAGTTTGCTAAGTGGGCTTTGGGACCTGATGAATAAAACAGCTCTGCTGTAAAAACTGTTCCTGTCTGGAAAAGTCCAACAGACTTTCATAGAAATGAAGCCAGTAGACTTGTGCAGAAATGGAATAGGTTCTCCAGGATTTATTAGAGGAGGATATCCCTTCAGTAGAAGCATTAGACCAACCTATACAATTTAAGAGCTAATTATATCCCTGCCACACAGGTAACTATATTCTAGCCAACTACATACAGGATATTTTCCTAAGAATTTGAATGAGGGCCCAATCGCTGCTTTATACACCTACCATCCATTCATTTTTAACCAGATCACTTGTAGCTATGGGTTTATCTGGTGCTTTGTTTTTCCAACCACATGTTCAATAATTCCAAAACAGGGTGACCCTTGGTGGTGTACAATGCATACCCCAAGACTGCTTCTATAAGGCAATTACTATTCCAGCCACTGTCTATTTGATGTCAGTGGAAGTTGTGTATAAGGACAGCTCATGCACTGGGCACTTCACACATGCAAAAGCTGTGAAACAGAGAAGCTAAGATATATCATAATATTATCTCATTAACTTGTAGTATTGTGATTTCTGTGCAGGCTTTTAAGTGTAGTGCAATATTAAATGTCTTCACTGAAGGGCAGCCAAGATGCTTGCGCTTTAGTTTTCACAGGAACTTGTCAGAACCAAAAGAAAAAGCTTATTTTTCCAGTCCCCTAAATGCTTGGGTATGCTGTTTTGGCTTTCTCTCTCGTTTCTTTTTATATTGGTCAAAATGGTTTGGCTCTTAAATATTAAACCCAGGGCTGACAAGGATCTGACAAGATGCATGGTTCTTTTTATTTCTAGCCTTACCATACATATCCTGTGGGTAAAAATCTATATTTTTTTCTATTTTATTCTGTTTTATTTGGATTCTTATATTGTTTCCATCACTGGTGGTGGAATGCCTACTTGGCTTTCTGCTATGTGGGTGAACAACTTCACTGGGTCAAATTATCTTTCTGATGCAGTCACATTGAAATAAAAACTTGAATTCAGTGGAGTTGCACAAATTGGAAATCATTGCTATACTGTTTCTACTGGGGCTCCTTGAATGATATTGGGAGCAAAACTATAGCCAAGTATTTCTTTACTTCAATTTTGTATTAGCCACCTGAGCTTTTATGTCCTGACATATGTGTATTTTTTTTAATTACCAGATAGCAAAGAAGGAGAGAGCGGGAGGTCTTGGTTTAGAACCTATCAATGTTATTTTATTTATTATTTTTTTCTAACTTTCAATTATCTCTTCTTTCCCTAGATGCCAATTAAGTGGATGGCTCTGGAGTGTATACACTACAGGAAATTCACCCATCAAAGTGATGTTTGGAGCTACGGTAAATTTCCTCTGTTACTGTGCTTAAGAATTAATCTCTTGTGTGATGTATTGAGCCAAGTTTGTGTGTGTGTATGTGTATGAGCATGTACGTTACAGATGCTTATTTAGCATCCTTTTTTTCCTAAAGGAATGAATACTATTGCCTTTCATTCCTGCTTGTTTAAAAAATATATAAATCAAAATAGCATTGTTACCTGTCTCCTGTGTTATTTTCCTGCTTACTAAAATGCATTATCACAATGTCCCTGCTGGATTGCCTGCTGCAAGCTCTTGTTTGGTAGCAGTTTGGCCAATCATTGTAACAGAAAAAAGCTCCTTTTAGTTTAGCCACAGATTCGTCGAAATATGGCTGCAGGTCATAATTTTCTACAGTCCTTTGAAAATCTAACTCTAAAAGTCATGAATGTCAAAAAACATTATCTGGCTTATGGGAGTTTGTGTACTACCATCAGATAAAAGGGAATTTGTCATAACAGAACCAATGCAGTGAGAGAGAGGCGAGAAAGAGAAGAGAAGCTGACTAATACAGGTTTGGATTAATTTGACAAACAGATTTGAAATTAGTCAGAAAGGCCAGGCCACAAGGACTCTACTCCAAAAATCATGTCTTCTGGTAACAGAGGAGTTTGCTTAACTGTTAACTATCATGTCAGAATGAGCTGTTGTTCAATATTTCCCTGGCGTTTTTCCTGTTTACTATATCGGTAATGGCTGAACTAGTTAATCTGCAGCTTTAAAAGTAGAACTGTACCACATCAAACCCCCAACAGGCATTTAGAAATACTGGGCCTCATCTGTTATTTCTGTTTCTAAATGACTTGGAAAAAAAAGATGCACAGTATCATCTGAAATCTCATTACTCATTCTTACCTGTGGGTAGCAGCAAAATACACTGTTTGCTGTTGCTTGGTAGATAACTTCCTTCTGTCCAGCTGAGAAAAATATACTATAGTTAAATTGTAAACACTAAGTAAAACAAGATTTTTTTTCCCCTCCCCAAAGCATGTTTGCTGCCATTAGCAAACTAGATATAGTCATCCATTATTTATGCTGCCCAATTTAAAAACAGAAAGCCTGGCATATATGTGTTTTAAAATTAAAAAAACCAAAATAAATGACAAAGTTTAAGTGTTGCACATCAATGAAGAAATGGATGAAGGAGAAAATGTATGTGTGATATGGATGTCGATTGTTATCTATTTCTCCTTATATTGGTGTGACAAAAATATGGCTGTCAGGTTTAAGTCATGTTTTAAGTGGCCTTTGCGATAAAATAAAAGCAAACCAAAGGAAACTTTTGGGAAACAGCAGCATTTTCAACATTAATGATTGTTTTTTGGGATAAATTCTGTTATTTATGATATGTAGTATTTATTTTCCTGCTTAGCTGCCAACAAATCCTGTGGTTGTTCAAAACGAGTATCTTGGCTTTAAAGCATAGCACTATCATAACTCAAATCCATAACATTATCTAAAGAAACAATAACACAACTGACTCTGTTTGACTTACAAGGCAAAGACAATGACATAATCTTATTCAGTTCTGCACCTTTGTGGGAAATGGATGCTATAACTTAATGAACATCAGTGTTTTCCTCCTTTAAAATAATACTGTATGTCAGACATTCATTTTATTTTTTGATAGGATAAAGAATGGGGCATATTCTTTTATTACAGCTTCCTTTAACTTTCCCACCAAGTATTTCTTCTAGGCTGTTCTTCTATTACTCCTATCTGTCATGCATTCTGTTAAACCAATAAAAACAAGAGAAGTTGCTTCCCAGATTTCCAGTGCTCTTTAGATGGTGAATCCAACACACATCTGAACAAGCTATATTCACTTTTCATGTACACCAATTCTAGGAATGAATCAGTTATCCACATCATATTATAATCCAATATTGAGCCACTAACATACAATCTCCAAGGCATTTTTTAGAACTTAAAAGAACATGGTCATAGTCTCAAATTCTTTTTTCCACCCGCCACAGGAGTTACTATCTGGGAGCTTATGACTTTTGGTGGAAAGCCCTATGATGGAATCCCAACACGGGAAATTCCTGACCTGTTGGAGAAAGGGGAAAGGTTGCCTCAGCCTCCCATCTGCACCATTGATGTTTACATGGTGATGGTGAAATGTGAGTAATTGTTGCTTTTAAACTTGTTAGGGTTAGTACTAGCAGAGCACTACTCCATTGCATCTGCAGTAACTAGCAGTACTGGGTAATAATGCAGAACAAGAGCTTCCTAATATACTGTAAATTACATTCCAACACTGCATGCACACTTCGCAATTGCAAAGGATATGAATTTAGCCATGAAGGCTTGAGTTATCTCAGCTTCTTATTATTGTTCGATAGTATCTCACATCCTTGCTATGAAGTCAAAATTGTATGATTGTTATTGTAAACTCTTGTCATTTCTATGACAATTGATTTTGGTGTTAAAAAGATAGCATTAAATATAATTAAAATACATAGGTAGTCAGGCAGAGAGGGGTGCAAGGGGAAAAACTGGTATAGAACACTATTCCAATTATTGAGGAAAGAAACCCTGACTTTTTTACTGTTTTTATTATTATTACTAAAGAGAAACTGAATTGATATAAGAAGTCTAGCTGAGGATTTATTTTTGTTAGTGCTCCCAGTCACATCCAATACCCTTTGTATTTTAGCACAAGATGAAAATAGCATGCATCTGGCTTCTCACATACCCTGCCATCCTTTCCCCCAGCACATTCACACTAGTAAAGTTATCCTCAAAGCTGAGGCTTCTAATTTAAAAAGAATTAGAAATGTCTCTGTGGTCTTCCTGACTTAATTTAAATGAGATTAACATACAGCCGCCTCATCCATCTGACATGGGCCTTTTCCTTTTAATTCAAACACAAAAAAGTGAGAACAAAGAAATTAAACTGAAGGAGGCAAATGTATATGCTTAATAAGAGACCTGGGACATCTCTCTTGTCAAACTTGCATTTCCAACATGTGTCTTGTAACATTACATGGGTATACTATATCACACAAGAATTCACTATTGAGATATAGTCTCTTTTCACCCCTAAACCTGCCAGATTGAATCCATCACTAGTCATTACTGATGGAAGTTTGCCACATGTACAGTACAGGGATGTTTGGTGATTTCTGTTAGGCTAGTTTAATAGTTTAAATCTAATTCCCAGTGAGTAAATGTATACATCATAAAAATCTTAACCCTTTGTATTAAGAGAGTCCCTCCTTGAGACTGCAGGCAGATTGGCCAAGCATGATATTAGGTTTGAAGCACTCTGATAGAGCACTGGGGGGTAATATGCATTTCAGCCTCATGTACTGTACGTGATAAGTAGGTAAATAGGATCTGAGTGTCCAACCTACCAATCTGTTACCTTTAGGATAAAATGTATACACATGAACAATTTAAATAGGGATAAGTGGAGGGATTTTTGTTCAACATATACTGACCTGTTCGTTTATCTTGCACAATATTGATTCAAGGGCAATCTATCCCTTCTAACCTTTGATCATCTGTGGCTCAAATATTACTTCTATACAAATCACGTGCATTTTCCTCCGTAGATTAATTCCCCTTGATATATCATATCCCCCCCAGACTTCTTATTCAGGTTGAATAAAAATCATGCCTGTGAACAGTCCTGTTGACAGCTGGCATGTTGATGTGCATAAGTTTTTTTGCTTATGAGTAAGCAGAATCAGGCTCACAGCAATTAATAGCCCTAGTAGATATGGGGAAAAAAAGAGGAGAGCATTGGATTATGATGTCATCCTCTAACATAATGGTGCCAACCATTTTGGCAAGTGTGCCATAAGTTAAGTCCAAAGTATGAAACCGTGCCACTCTAATAATCAGCTACTGCTTTTGCCCAGTACCACTGAATCCTACTACTGCTGCTACTGGGACATGGCAACACTGAACTAGGCAGCACCTACTTCCACGGTTCCCACAAGGCTAAGCCTTCCAACCAACAATGACCCTCAACTTAAATCTCCTCAAATGCCGCTGCAGTCCTTATCCTCTTCCCTTCCCCACATACCACCCCTAATTTCCATCACCAGTGTCCCCTTTAACTCAGTTCCCAGGGTTCACATGCCAAACACACAAGCTGCCTGTGCCATTTGTGGCCCGTGTGCCATGGGTTGGACACTACTTATCTAACACAAGAGCTCATAAATGGAGTAGTTGATTAGAACAGCTGAGCAACTGGGAAAGCTTCTTATTTGGATCAGACATCAGGATATTCAAACACAATGTGGGTTCTAATGGTTAAGAAGCAATTCTACAGCATTAAAAGAAAATGCAAATAGCTTGAGTATTCCAGACACTATATATGAGCCTTACAAAATATCCTACATGCTAAGAAAGTCTTAGCTTTTTTACTTCTTGGTCTCCACTTCATCATAATAGGACTATAAAGAGATACAGTCCACTTCATTTAGACTTCCTGCTAAATAAAGACAAGTTCCTTGAAAAATGCTGACAGTATCTTTTGTTAGGAAAGGCTAGCACTAAGATAAACTGACTGTTGTTGCTACGCAGAATACACCCATTGGTTTGTTTTGCAGCAGATGTTGAAAAGGAATGCTGTTTTTCCTAATGGACTTTTCTGAAAGAATGAGGGGAAGAACTCGTACGAAGTGTTCTTGTATGCTAAGATGAAGTGATCTCAATAATAGCAGTGGCCATTAGCAAGGCTTATGCTTGCAGCAGTATTGAGGATGTAAGCTCTAATACAGAATTACCTGAAAGGTGAAGAAGCAAACATAATTAGGAGGGCTTTCAGATTTGTTTAACAGCTTTTTATAATCAGAGATGTTAGAAACAGTAGATCTGCTGAAAAAGGTTGTTTTATGTGTCGCAGTAGCAGCATGTTGAGTGTGCATAGAGGGTCCCAGTTAAGATCAAGACCTTATTATACTTAGGGTTGTACAGATCCTTAGTAAGACATAATCAGAAATAATTAGACAAGACAGACAAAGGAAGGGTGGAAAGGTGGTATTATTGTTCCCATTTAGGGACAGGCAACAGGGGCACTGAGAATTGAAGGTACTTGCCTAAGGTCACAGAAGAAAATAAATTAGAGACCAGGAATTGAACCCGATCTCTAGTGCGTTAACTAAAAGATCAGGCTTTTTTCTATTTTAGATGCATTGTATATTATTGTCTTCCCAAATTTCTTGAACCCTTTAACTTTGTTTTTTTCTGTTGACTAAATACATCAAAGACAACTTTACACCTCAGACTTGGGATTGTTTTTCAGGTTATTCAGCACTGAAAAAATGTTCTTGTTCATAATGAACCAATTTTTATTCTTTACATTTGTTCCTAGGCTGGATGATTGATGCTGACAGTCGGCCTAAGTTCAAGGAGCTGGCTGCTGAATTTTCAAGAATGGCTCGAGACCCTCAAAGATACCTGGTTATTCAGGTCAGCAATTCTGAACATCTGCAAATAATTTTAATTCTGCCTATAAAGCTATGACACTGATGAATGTGCATCAGCAGGTCTTGCATCACCACTAACAGAGAACTGAAGTGATTGTAATACTATAAAATAGCTGAAAATGAAGGCTTATGCCAAGATTTGACAAAATGAACACTTGAAATTCAGCTCCTATATCCATATTTAGGCCCATAGCAAGGTGGTCTAATTTTTCCAAAGCACCAAGTGCCAAGCAACTTCTGTTGAAGTTGTAGCACAGTATTAGTGTAGAAAATATTTAAAGCAGAGAACTGTATTTAGTTTTACAATCAGAAGGAAACTCCAGTAAAGTGAAATTTGCCTGCAAGAAAGTCAAGTACAAGGCCTTTGCCACAGGTTGAGAACGGTCAGTGCCCAGAGAAACTGTGTTCATAGCAGTTGCCTATGCACACCTCTTATGTGATACAGGAAAGTTATCTGCCCTGACCTTAGAGGTCTGCACACAAGGCTGTAAGGTAAAGAGCCCAGGTCTCTGTATTTGCGATAGCTTGCTAAACTCTGATGCCCTGCCTAGATATATGTGGGATTTTGCTTCCCAGATCCTCTATGAGGCCTGCAACTTGAATCACGTATGTGGGTGTAATGAGCTTCACTCATAATTTTCATGTTATGGTGCTACCAATTTGCAAAGTAGCTCAAGTGTCAGTGAGACGATTATTCCCTGCCCCAACACCACCCCATAGAGGCCTCTTGGTATCCAGTCCTTGACTGGCATCCTCTCTCTTACATTGTGGTTTTTATCAGATTTTACCCCATCAAACTGAAAAGCACAAGGAAGGAGGATTATCTTTTTTTTTTACTGAAGACATTCATTCAAAGAATTCAATACACTAATGCTTGGTTCCCTGGGAAAAAAGTATTGACACGTTTTTAAGCACTGGGGCTATAACTTAGATTCAAGCCAAAGGAAATGAATCCATCTTTCTATGAAGTCAGTTTATAAGGTCTCCATCACTGTAATGCCTGAGCAATACAAAAGGAAATGTGAATATAAACAGCAACATCAATAAAATAATTGTTAAACACCAAAGGCCAAATCATGAAATCAGTCTGACCCAGATTCTGATAGTCTTATGCTCCTTGAGTAATCTTGTGGGGACTATTTGAGCAGTTAGATAGTAGTCAGCATGAGTAATGGCACCAGAATGTGGCCTTTTTCTAACAGTATTCCCCATTGACTTGAAAGGAGAGTTCTGCTTTAAAAAATTTCTATAAGCCCCCCAAAATTTGAATTGATTTTATTGGCTATTTTTTTTCCATATTCCTTACACTTCTTTTCATGATATTTTAATATCATTCTTGAGGGGTTTTGTTACATAATCTGAAGAGTACCATATTTTACCATTTTAGGCCAGCCATCTGGCTTCTATTGTGGCCTGGCTGGAAGGTAAAAGCTAAATGTTCCTCTACACTCAGTAATATCACTGCCCTCATAAAAAGCCCTATAATAATGTAATCAGGAACAATAATTTTTCAGTGGAATTTTTGAACCAACCTATATGATTCTCTACAAAAGATATTTTTATGTTTTATGATCTACAGTAAGACATAAGTTTCCAGCATTGTTGTCATTCACTTCTAATTTATGTTAGTTTTAGTAGTTTCCATAATATAAGCTGAATTTTGATCTTTGTTTATACAGCTCCTAGCACAGTAGGACTGTGATCCCTTACTGGGAACCCTGGGTGTTACTACAATACAGTAGCATTTTTGTTGTTTGTTTTATTCTAACCCAGTTCAGTTTCTTTTGGTTCCATCCCTATTAAATTCTTTATGTCCTTCCACATAGATAACAGGGAAATTTAGCCCCATGAGATCTCAAAGGCACAAATGGAAAAGAAAAAACAAAAAAAACCTAAAGCAAACTAAAGGACCCAGCAGTTTCCATGTCATTCTTTGTTTCTGTGTCAGCCTTAATATCTCAAATATTTTTCCAAATACATCAAGCCTTGTCAGAAGCTGGTCGACTGGGTCACACATTGAGTTTTGTTTTAAAGAAGAAAGAAAAAAGTTCAATAATAGGAGTGCCAAAATTGTTTGGCATGATTTAGATAGTTATTCCCTTTCTGTCAGCAGATTCCCAGCAAAATAAATTATGCAGCCATGGTGACATTGCACATGAAAAGTAATATTTGTGGGTTTTGTGTTGTGATGGAGAGGGTGTATGAACGGTGAGTGCCCCAGCCCAGAGAATTAATTAATCTCTTTGTTACCTTCCTCCAAATCATGGGATGCATTCAGGGTGATGATCGTATGAAGCTTCCAAGCCCTAATGACAGCAAATTCTTCCAAAATCTACTGGATGAGGAAGACCTGGAAGATATGATGGATGCTGAAGAATATCTTGTTCCACAAGCGTTTAACATCCCTCCTCCCATCTACACTTCCAGGGCAAGAATTGACTCCAACAGGGTAAGGGCAACCTCTGCTAAAAAGCATGGAGAGCATATTATGTAGTCTAGTCAAACATAATCCTGAGTTACTCTGCAAACTTGAAGCCTAAAGTGTCTAGAGAGTGACTATAAAAATGGCATCACTGGGTCCCTGTTTATTGCATCTCATGATTTTCAAAAGAACAGGCCAGCTCAGAAGTGAAAAAAGATATGTTTTGAACAGTTGACTGAAATCTCAAATGGGGCTTGTAAAGTTAAGCTGCATTCTTTCTGGATTTTGCCCCCTCCTGGCCAGGAATAAAGATCCTATTGCTCTGAGTCTTCCTTCATGGAAACCCATGCAACCTCTTTATCTTGAAAGGGATTATACAGGTGTAACTGAGGGCAGTTGGTTTGTTGTGGACAATCCTGCTGGAGCGTCAGGGCTAGGGACAGACATTCAGAAAACCTGAGCCTGAATTGATTCAATCTTTGCAGGTTAGTCTAACCTGGCTTGGCTACATCACTTTGTAACTGTACAGACATCCCAGACATACAGGCACATTCGGCAGTGGCTCAGGCTAGAAGCTGAGGGGCGCTAGAGCAGCCCTCCCTTCCCTTGCACAGGGCTGAGCTGAGGGGGGCCCTGGCCAGACCCTAGCAGGACACTCTGATTAGGGAGGTGTTCCCCCGCTTCTGACCAGCCCAGCAGGGAACTGATAATAGCGTATAACAGCCCTAACTCAGTGTTTATCACGTCATTGAGAAAACAACAGAGGGACATTACCAGCTACCTGTTGATTCTCTCTTTGTTCCATCTGCCATAGCACAGACCATAGCCATCACGTGGTCTACTAGCTAATGCTGAGAGGTGTCTGTAAGGCACAGGGGATGGGGAGACAAGGGGGGAGCAGGGACACCTGCAGTCTGTGCCAAGCTGCAGCATGGGAGCATAGAGGAGGGGCCAGCTCTGCTTCGGACCAGAGTGCTCTGCCCAGCCCAGAGAGCATGCCGGGATGCTGGGGGTGTCTGGTTTATCTTAAACCAGGAAGGGGTCTGGGACAGATATTGCATAAACTGGTTTGACCCAAATCAATTAAATCTGATACTACATTCAACCAGGTTTATCTCAAACCAATTTCAGCCATTTTCAAACTGGTTTATGTGCATTGAGCATCTGTTCTGTTACAGTTTTAAACCAGTGTGTGTTCACGTAAACCATTTTCTGTGTAATGTCTACCCCTAGCCCCTGAGCCAGATTGGAATCTAGCTACTTCTCCTATCTGTGGTTCCTATTCCCCTGTTGTCTGAGTACCTCCCAATTTTTCATGTATTTTTTTCTCACAACCTTCCAAGGAGGTATGGACATGCTGTATCTCCATTTGACAGATGGGATACAGGAGGTTTAGTGACTCACACAAGGTCACTAGGGAAGTCTGCCACAGAGCCAGGAACTGAACCCACCCATGGCTCCTGAGTTGCTGGCTACCTGCCTAGTCATGGGGCCATACCTTCTTCCTTTTTCCACTAGTGCACTGGCTTTGCTGGTCTAACAGGAGATTTACACTTAATAAAACATATTTTCACCAAAGCGAGGAAGTAAGGCTTCAAATGCAAAGGAATTAGAAGTATTTAATCAGGGCTATAAAGGCTAACAGTGGAAGAATCACAGTGGAGGGACAAATCAGAAAGAGTACTTAACTCAAGGAAGCATTTTAGTATATGCTGGAATCCTAATGAAACGGAGCAGAATCTCTGCATGTGCTTAAAGCTAAGCACAAGCTTACATGGTTTCCTGAATCAGGATCATTGTTTGGAGACTTATTTATGGAGCCATAGCTGAGGCTGAGCCAAACTGTCCAAGTATATTCAGTGAGTAAAACTGGACTGTAAATTTGGCAAGAATATGGCATGACTATCAATATTATTGTTTACTTCTATATTTTGATTGACAGGGAAACATTTATTTTTTGTGGTTTAGAAATATTCTTTTGATTCCTCCATAGTTCAGACTGTTCCAGATTTATGACTGGGAAAAGACTGATCACATTGCACATGAATGGCAATAAATGGTACTTATGAAAAGTAATCTGTAAAAGAGCAGAACAGTGTTACAGCTAGATATTGCCACCCAAAGTACCTTATTCTGCATAAAGTCATTCTGTTTCTCATGGCATAAGGTGGTTATTAATCAAAACAAAGGAGGGCCAAAATCTACCCCCTCCTAAAATGTCAGCGTATTTTAAATATTCTGTCATTGTTTTTAATTAGATACATGGAACTTATTTTAGTCATCAACAAAAGTGTGTAATTGAGACTCAGTTCCACTTGCAACTTCTCTTCTTACAGTCACTGCCAGCCTAGACTTAGAACTCATTTTTAATGATCATGCTGAGCTGAGCTGAGTTCATTTTACTCCCATTTTCCTCCAGAGGTTCTGTTTCCATTTTTGCCAACTTCTAATGAAACCGTGAGATGAAAAAGACAGTGGGTCTTTTCCCGCACATTTTAAGGTCTAGTTCTGGTCTCCTATATGGACTGATGTAAATCAAGAGGAACTCCACTGACTGCACTGGAGTTACAGCATTTACCCTAATGTGAGAAGATGTATGGGGCCCTTACTATACGGGCACCACAGTATTTACTTCACCCGTAACATACTGAAAAGGGCAATACTGCTAATATCAGAGCCAATTTAAACTGAAAAGTACTGATGTGAAAATGGCACCTCCATTTTCAGTAGTTGCCTTCCCCATCTATCTTCAGAGCCAGCCTGACAGAGGAGTTGGTCTGAGCTCAGGGGATTAATTCCAGCAAAGAAAACATTGTGAATGTTCTGAGATAGTCGCTTAAATGTGCTGTTTGGGCAGTCAGTACACTTGCCAGGTTATGCATGGAAGGTAAACACAAAACACAGTCCAGGTGAATTTATCTAAAAATTGAAGTGGCTTTTTATAGCATTAATGTAGCCTAAGATCCCAATCACGCAGCTGCATACATAGGTGTGGATCCTTTGAAGTCCTTGGGGCTCAGTGTGGGTGCAGGAATGGGGCCCTAGTCATTCTGAATGCCACAAGGAGAGGCTTCATCTCCTCCTTATCTCTTACAATCACTCTCAGTTTCCCATCTTGGTGTGAGACTGTGATCCTTCCTGCTGAAGTCAGTGGGGCTTTTAACATCGAATTTAATGACAGCAGCTCATTCTCCTTATCTCCATAGCTCTGTACTGGTGTGAATTTCCCTACAATATCATATAGAAATGGAGGCTTTTTACTACTCCTGATATTCAGCCTTTCCAGTGGCTTACGTACTCTGAGCCAAACCTTCTGGCCCAGGTAATCATTGAGGTGGCAGGTAGGGAGCCTGCATCCAGTATTCACATCTCCTGATTGCAGCACACTCTGCTCCATAGGGGCTCCATTCACAGCTGAGGATGTGGCTGAAGAATGTACAACTAATCTAGAATAGCAGCTGTCGGAATCACTGGAGACTGGCTTCTGTCATGTGCGGGGGTATTAATTAACCTTTATAACCCTGAGCCATATTTGATGTCTTGGGTCAGGAAATAAAATTCAGTCTCTTCCTAGCAATGCGACATGTCTTAAATGTATTTGTAGAAGCTACCAACCAGAAGGCACGCAGGCATGTGTGCAAATATAGGTCAATTCAGATTGCAATAGGGCAATATTAGTGCAATGCTAGAGCAGCTTAGTGGTAAACAGGACTCATTGTACACAGTAGCCACAGAAAAAAAGGTGTTCCCCCCTCTTCCTTCTTCCCTTGAAATAAACTGTTGTGCTTTCTGCTCTGCAATAATGCAGAAGATTTAATATCTTGTATAAAAGTATATTCCATAGAGACTAGATCCTCAATATATTGATTGTTCCACCACTGACCCTTCATGTAGATTTAAAATAAAATGCACTATAACTCCGTTAATATGTATTCTTTCTATTCAATGTGCTTTAAGAACAGATGAATGTCAGTTGCAAGAACTGCACAGTGATTACTTTCAAGTTCAATCTGTCCAATGGTCTGAGTCTGGCTTTTTCTTTTTCCTTTGGGTAACTTTGATTTATGTTTGTTTGGTGTAATGAATATTAATATTAAATTATCTCATTATGATCATTGCTATTACCATAAATACTGAATAAATTGATACAGCTTAGGCAGTTTATGTTCATTGTTACTGGAAAATTAAATTTTATGTAAAAATCTCCATACCGGTTGGTAAGGCAAGACACAGAGGCAAAAGCTACAAAATCTTCAAGTCATTCCTAAAGGATCTTGAAAGACATGGCATACACCATCTGGTCCTGCAGCTATTCTGATTGTCTTTAATTTAAAAAATAATAATAATTTTTTTAAAATGCATGCATACCATAGCAATCTAATATGCTTTTTCTTGAAGCATCATCCTTTTGGCTTAAATTTTACAGCCGAACAGTTCTAGTAAGAAGAGATGAAAAATTTCAGTCAAGAAAAGAGAGATTATGACCCTCTTTTACTTAGATGGTAGGCATCCTTTTGTTAAGGAAGGCTCTGCTGTTTTTGCTGTATGATCTCAATCCTAAATCCCTGTATTCTGGTACATGGGTTAGACACTAATCAAAGCAGGTAACTAAAAAAAGAAGTTTCATATGAATTAATACCAGGGACAGAACCTACTTAAAAGGAGGAAATCTCATTAGTGGAGTTTCCCTTGTGCCAGAATAAATAGTGTATTGCATTCAAATGTGTGCAAACTTTGGCATCTTAGGGAGCGGGGAAGGGGATGCCAAGCACTGGAGAGTGTTATCTCCCCACATACAAGCCACTATTCTAGCACAGGCTCTCTGTATATGGGCCACTACTGCTGTGGCACAGGCTCCTTCGGGGCACCATTGTGGTGCCCCTCTAAATGGTGCTTGTTGATTTAGGACCACTATTACATTACTGATTGTAGCAAAATGCTGAAGCCACAAGACCAGCATTTTTACACTGGTTCCAAGGTCTCCTGTTATTCAGTCACCACATACATGCTTTGGCTTCCTAGCAGCA